GTAATGTTGTATTAGAAAAAGTCAATAACTATCGATCTAAAACTTATGCAAAAATGTTTACCTTTGTCTCAGTTTTTGCAATTCATGTGATGTTTTTCACATTATTGTTAATCCCATTAATAATTTCCGTTACGTTTTCTTCATTCTTTGTGTTTAATATAACAAAAAGCAAAAAACATTAATCAATTTAATTACTACAACAAAAATTTAATATTATTAATTAAACGAAAACACTTTTTATGTTACTCTCAACACTTGAATTACATTATATTTATTGGAGAAATTATAAATGTTTAGTAAATTAAGAGGTCTTCAACCTGTTTTAGGGGTCATTCATCAAAATATATGAATATTCTGTTAAAAGAGTTAAACTATTCATTGCAAAACTTATTTAGATTTTCTAAAGAATATGCATTTTCATAATTATAATAATGTATTCACTAAACTTATTTTTAACTTAGTTATTTGATATAAATATCAAGAATAATAATCGAGTAATATTGTAGTAATTTCGAGTATATTTGATAATTTATGACTCATTTATAGTAACTATAAAAATTTGTAACATGATATTACTTTTGTATTATTTATTAATTTGATTCAATTATTTTTCCAAATAATGGCTTTTGAATTGATAACTTATTATTTAAATGAACAAAATACTCTTATGATATTTGAAATATTTGAATCAATATTATGAATACAATGGGAAATATTAGCGTAAAGAATATTTCGCAATATATAAGAGTTAGAAACAAACATTGAATTGAAACAAACCTTTTTCTCGTTTGCAAAAACTTCGCTGTCATTAATGATATTTAAATCGTTTGTATTATTATTGCTATTATTATTTTGTGGCAAAAATTTTTCATTATATATGTGAGCCTTTCGTTTCCTTTCCTCCAGTAGTTCGAGGCGTTTCTCCTCTGCCTTCAACTGTTTGTCTGACAACTGTTTGGCCGTCAGTTGTTGTGCCGGCTGTTCGGCCAGAGATAGCAATCGTTTTGGCGGTAATTTTAGCGGTTCAGTGGCCGCCGACCCGGTGGCCGGTTTGGGACTGTCGTCGTCGAGGGATATATCGAAAGCCACCGGTTTTGGAACTGTAGCACAAATACCAGATAATAATACATGTATTATTGGCAGTCATTTGAATGGTTAAAATGACCGCAATTTTGAGGTTCAAATAAAATTCACATTATATTACAAATATATTTTGTATAAATAAAATCAAAAATCAAATCATACGACAAATTGCAGAATAAATAAGTGTTTGTCGAGCCCTTAATAAAACCCCAGATCGAGCCGGAGGTAATACTTTCGGCATTACTTTTCTATTATACGGACCTAATAATTGTTTTAATTGTCAGTATATTTTGTATCTTATATATTATTTTTATATATATTTATATATATTATTTGTATATTATTTTTCTTAAAATTATTAATATTAATTAAATTAAAAATAAATTTAAAAGACTACCACTTGAACACGTGAAGTGATCGATAGGTTTAGCATACAATACACTACGATATAGTGAAAACGTGCTAAACATCTCATACTGTATGACTAAAAGTGATACAGTTTTTAAGTGATAAGTTGTTTTTGGAAATACAGTATCATTTTGTAAAATAACTCATTTCTAAGAACTAATTGAATATTCACTAAAACAATTTATTTCGATACATTTACACTGGTAAATAAATGCAGTTGATTGCATGATAAGTATGTGTAAAAGGCACACTTGATATATTTAGCAACTTTAATAATTCTTAAAACAAATAAGAATTGAATGCAATTATTTGATATGTATTACTTTCTTTAAGTAATTTTATATATCAAATAAAAGCTAACGAGTGATAAAACAAAAAAGTGGTCAAACCTGGAGTCATAGGTCTGGACATTCTTCGAGGACCGGCTGCCGTTCCGTTCCCATTAGTCTTATCAGTAGTTTTGTTTGGTTTGACTACATTTCCATTTGCATTGTTTGTATTGTCATCAATAGTTTGCACGGCTTTTGCTGCTCCACAACCCATCCCTTGTCTTATACGGCAATTGAAACTCTCAAACACATCAACTCACAAAACCCACAAACAATTTCTTATATTATGCAATATATTAATAGGAAAATAAGATTTTTGTTTTTAATAAGAATTCGCGTTCAATTATAAACATTAAAATAAAATCTAAGAATATTGTGCTGACAATAAAAAATTGTAATAAAATTCTCGGTATTATAGAAATGACAACAAATAGCAAACGAATGAATGAATAGGAATACGAAGAAAATTAAAACAAAATAAAAAGTTTTGCCACAATTCTGTTGCCGTGGATACAGATTTAACATTTTCTATGCGACAGAATATTATATATGACTTTATAGATGGTATATATCATTTGTTTGTAGTGTTTATGTCTAACAGTTAGAAAAAATGCATTCAATTGATTTGTTGTGTATAACTGTTCTCGAGTTCTACTCATGTTTTTTGCTATTATGTTATTTCTATATAATGGAAGCACTCATATAATCAGTCAATTTTACCAATATTCACATCTAATGTCAAATAAATGCATTTTAAATACATCCATTTTATATATAAAGTACAGTAGTTCTCGAGTGGCATCAGATTTTAGTTTAGTAATGGCAAGTATAGAAGTATAGTAATTGGCTTCAAAATAGGTCTCTCTCTCTCTCTCTCTCTCATCACTATTAGACCACTAGTAAAGACAACACATTTAAAGCACAGAATATAAGTGATATTGAAATGCAAATCTCATTATTTGACAAATAATATGACAGACAATCTATTAAACCACAAAACCATTCATTAGTCTGAAAGCTATTCTCCAGAAATTATAGTCAGAGAGCTCTGGAAAATATTATGAATTTGGGCTCATATTCGAGGCATAGGTTGAATGAATGGCTCGTTTTTGGTGTCAAACAAAAAGTCAATAATTTATTCAACGGTTGAAAAAGTATTATATCATAGAGAACACGCCAATTACCTGTACTCCTGTAATACATAGAAGTAATGCACTTATAATTATAGTCTGCATTTCGCATATATGCGACCAATATATTGATATCAAAAAACAAAAAATTTAAAAAATCAATATTTTCTTCACTTAATAGAAAAAGACTTATGTTTTCAAACAAACGACAGAATGTATTGATTTTAAATTAAAAATAAAGTTAACTCTTAGCGTTTTAATTAAGTAATTGTCATATAAATAATTTTGGAGTTCAAATCTATTTACCCTAACATGTTTAAATCGGATCCAGAATAATCTATTCAAATGCTTTAAATTATCAACAAATATCAAATAGCACTACAATTTAGTTTTTATTGTATAAATCATAGAAATGTGTCTAATTTACAAGATAACTATTATATTTAAATCAATTTATTATCGATATAACTGTAACTATACGGTGGGATGTGAACCGAAATGGGATATAATGTGGGGGTTGGGTGTAGAGGGAGTACTGCCCATCAGTACTGACCATCAGTACTGACCATTAGTACTGACCAGGGTGGAAGTTCACATAATTACAGTACTCGGCTTCCCTTAACAGCTCTATATTGCCGCTGACTTTGCGCTCAATATATTTGATACAATGCGGGTGTAAGTCAACGATCTTGCAGATGGTCTGCCACGACATCCCCAACCGGACCAGACTCTCGGCGTAGTCCATCCTCGCCTGCCACGCGGGGAACCGCCTGTTGTGGTGATCGGCCTTCCATTTACGCAACTGTCAGACATACCATACAGTCAGTCAGTGTCCAACACAGTCACCACATGTCACACACGAGGCATCTCTTTGGCACCAATGAGTACTCAAAGTCTAACACCAATTGGTGCCCACTTTGCACGAGTGGGACACCGATATGCGGACATGTGGTGGTGGTGTTGGTGATGGTAGTGGTGATAATACCTGGTAGTCCTGCCACGACATGAGTTTGGGTTTGTGTTTATTGGTGATCTTGTATCGGATGTCCCTCTTCTTGAACTCCGGGGGCTCTAAGAAGCCGCACATCTTAATCCTGTGCTCGTGTCTAACCCATTGACGCAACACATTGTCTATTGAATGCAATTGTGGGACACGAGTGGACACTAAATGCCACAACATTTTC